AAGCGATTTTGGTCCCGAGGTCTGGCGGAAAATGATATTTGTGGAATGGATTTTCATTTTGAAAGATTTCATGTTTTTTTGCTGAATGGTCAGGAAAATTCCAAAAAAGCTCATTTTTTCGAATATTCCTGAAGCTTCCTAGCGGCGAGCTGAGCTTTCAGCCAGGTTTGAGGAAATAGGAGTGCATTCAATCGATTTTGGTTCCGAAGGCCGGCGGAAATCATGTTTGTGGAGTGGAGTTTCGTTTCCAAATATTTCACCTTTTTTTGCTGAATTGTCAAAAAAATTCCAAAAAAGCTCATTTTTTCGAATATTCCTGGACATTCCTAGCGGCGAACTGAGCCTTCAGTCAGGTTTTGAGTTGAGATAGGTTTCAGTCAACTGATTTTGGTCCCGAGGGCTGGCGGAAAATGATATTTGTGGAGTGGAGTTTCGTTTTGAAAGATTTCACCTTTTTTTGCTGAATGGTCAGGAAAATTCCAAAAAAGCTCATTTTTTCTAATATTGCTGAACCATCCTTGCCGCAAACTGAGCCTTCAGTCAGGTTTTGAGGGGAGAGAATGCATTCAAGCGATTTTGGTCCCGAGGACTGGCGGAAAATGATATTTGTGGAGTGGAGTTTCGTTTCCAAAGATTTCATCTTTTTTTGCTGAATGGTCAGGAAAATTCCAAAAAAGCTCATTTTTTCGAATATTCCTGAAGCTTCCTAGCGGCGAGCTGAGCTTTCAGCCAGGTTTGAGGAAATAGGAGTGCATTCAATCGATTTTGGTTCCGAAGGCCGGCGGAAATCATGTTTGTGGAGTGGAGTTTCGTTTCCAAATATTTCACCTTTTTTTGCTGAATTGTCAAAAAAATTCCAAAAAAGCTCATTTTTTCGAATATTCCTGGACATTCCTAGCGGCGAACTGAGCCTTCAGTCAGGTTTTGAGTTGAGATAGGTTTCAGTCAACTGATTTTGGTCCCGAGGGCTGGCGGAAAATGATATTTGTGGAGTGGAGTTTCGTTTTGAAAGATTTCACCTTTTTTTGCTGAATGGTCAGGAAAATTCCAAAAAAGCTCATTTTTTCTAATATTGCTGAACCATCCTTGCCGCAAACTGAGCCTTCAGTCAGGTTTTGAGGGGAGAGAATGCATTCAAGCGATTTTGGTCCCGAGGACTGGCGGAAAATGATATTTGTGGAGTGGAGTTTCGTTTCCAAAGATTTCATCTTTTTTTGCTGAATGGTCACAAAAATTCCAAAAAAAGCCCACTTTTTTCTAATATTGCTGAACCATCCTTGCCGCAAACTGAGCCTTCAGCCAGGTTTTGAGGGGAGAAAGGAATGCATTCAAGCGATTTTGGTCCCGAGGACTGGCGGAAAATGATATTTGTGGAGTGGAGTTTCGTTTCCAACGATTTCATCTTTTTTTGCTGAATGGTCACAAAAATTCCAAAAAAAGCCCACTTTTTTCTAATATTGCTGAACCATCCTTGCCGCAAACTAAGCCTTCAGCCAGGTTTTGAGGGGAGAAAGGAATGCATTCAAGCGATTTTGGTCCCGAAGGCCGGCGGAAAATGATATTTATGGAGTGGATTTTCGTTTTGAAAGATTTCACCTTTTTTGCTGAATGATCAGGAAAATTCCAAAAAAAGCTCATTTTTTCTAATATTTCTGAACCTTCCTAGCGGCGAGCTGAGCCTTCAGCCAGGTTTTGAGGGGAGATAGTAGTGCATTCAATCGATTTTGGTTCCGAAGTGCTGAATCGTCAGGAAAATTCCAAAAAAGCTCATTTTTTCTAATATTTCTGAACCTTCCTAGCGGCGAGCTGAGCCTTCAGCCAGGTTTTGAGGGGAGATAGGTTGCAGTCAACTGATTTTGGTCCCGAGGGCTGGCGGAAAATAATATTTGTGGATTGTAGTTTCGTTTTGAAAGATTTCATCCCTTTTTTGCTCAATTTTCAGGAAAATTTTCAAAAAAAAAGTGATCCTTCAGTCAGGTTTGAGATGAATTAGATTTCAGTAAATGTGCTTTGCATGCAAGCATTGAGCGAATCCTGCTGACGTGGGAGGAAAACGGTGAGGGGCTTTAAAATTCTAGGTTTGAAACTTGGGCCGAAAACTTTTGACTTTTTCTACTTTGAGAGCATCGTACTTTTGACTCTAAAAGAGCAAAGAGCAAGGCCAAATTGTTCTCGCTTTCAAATCAAGGAATTTGTGCGTCAAGACACTTTTAAGTTCTTGAGCTCCACAGATAAATATCAAAAAAAAAACTTTGCCGAAAGTTGAAGAGTTCCTAAGCTTCACAGATGAAATTCAAAAGACTTTGCCGAAATATACTTTCGAGGTTGACTATTCTAGAAAGTACCTGCTTTGCCTATAAAAGAGAAAATAAGGGCGTATTTGGTCTTACTGGCAGAGAAGAGCAGAAAATTTATCTAACAGGACGATTTTTCTCAGAGTAATTCTTGGGCTTAAGAGACTTTGCCTTTGCAGAACGATAATTTTGAGATTTAATATTCTAAGAACCTCCTACTTTTGCCTCCGAAAGAAGAAAGCAGGGCCCTGCTAGCAGAACTGACGAGGGAATTTATGTGACAGGATATTTTTTCTAAAAACTCCTACGCTTCACAGATAAATAAAAAAACTTTACTGAGTGATATTTAAAAAACATCCTACTTTTGCCTGCAAGAGAAAAACTGGGACAAACTTGATTTTGGTGGCAGCAAATACCGGGAACTTCACGCAGGAGGACACTTTTTAAAGCATTCTGTGTTCCGCATTTGAAATTATAAGAATTTGGCGAGAGTTTTTTGGGGTTCTTTCACTCTAGAAACATCCTACTTCTGCCTCCAAAGAGAAAAGAGCAGGGCGAATTTGGTCTCGCTGGCAGAAAGATCAGGGACTTTATGCGCACTTTTTCTAACAATCTACGCATGAGAGATAAATTTTGAAAAAATTCGTTGAAAGATACTTTTGACATTCTGTAATCTTACAACGTCCTGCTTTTGTCTCCAAAAGGGAAAAGAACCAGGCAAACTCGGTCAAATTGGCAGAAAATACCAAGGACTTAGCTCGAAGGGAAACTTTTTTAGCATTTGGCTTAAAAAAACTTTACAGAGAGATACCTCTGAGATTTTCTCTTTAAGAACGTTTCACCTTTGCCTCCAAGTAGAGAGCCTACAAGGCTTGGTCTCGCTGGAGGAAAGACCGAGGTCATGCTCCACGAATGAGAGGGACTTTATGCGACAGAACAATTTTTCTTAACAGTTCCTAGCCTTGTAAAACTTTGCGGAAAGGTGCATTTGAGATCTTACACTCTAAGAGTTCTCTATTTTTACGCAAAGGAGAAGAGAGTAGGGCGTACTTGGTCGCTCTGGCGGAAAATATCACTGTATCTGTAGTTTTGGTCTTCTCTTTCAAAGAACAAGCTTAATGCTTTTCATAGCATAGCAATGTCCATAAAATCAATTTGGTCTTTGATCTAAAGCAGCTTTCCTTTATTAGAGAGATATCTTGCTGATTTCCAGTGATTAGATCTAGGAATTGGGAGGTTTTGGGAATAGGATTTCTGCGAGTAAAGATGGAATGCAGATGATTTCCCACTATTGAAACCTTGTTCTTTCAGAGCGTAATATCTTGTTTGTACTATCAGTTTGGCTAAAAAAATAAGTTCGGTCGTTTTAACGTTTGTAGCAAAGTTACAATTTGATTTATCTAACAATGTATGGTACCAATGGAAAGCGCAAATCAGGGGGAATTGGATGGTCTACTCTATTTGAGCGCCACCTAATATTTTGACAATGAAATTGTGAGGAAAGTGAGATAGTTACATTTTTTCATCTAATTTTCGGAAACTAATGCTCCGAAAATGAGTCTAAGCTGAGTGTAAAAAGCACAACTGCCATTCACACACCAAATTCTGAAATTTCCAACAACTCCTACGACCATAGATGGTCAGATTCAAATGATCTTGAATGCTCAAAAAACTGACTTCCACACGCAAACGCCTGAAATTCTCCCATCTTCGGCTGGAGAGCAAATCACAATCTCCGTTATAGTTGCTATGTTGCCAAAGAATTTATATATTTAACCGCCATATAGTTCATTTGTGCACTCACTATTGGCTAAGAACCAAGCTTAAAAGTTGAAAAAAAAACGCTTGTCAGATGTCCGACCATATAAGGGCATAATTGTCATTTTTCGATGATAAAAAATTTTGACTAATATGTAAGAGTAGAAGACTGGAGCTACCTCTTCAGAATGAAATGAGTTCAAACCTATTCACAATGGCTCCCGAACGTATGTATCAGCGTATCTGCCCCAACCCACTTGCTAGCGACCCGTAGGGTCGCTAGTTACAAATATATTATTGACAGGCCCGGGCGGAGCCGGCTATGCCAACTAGTTCATTCTATGCCAAAGCAGGGCAGGCAGCATGTACGAATGCGTCGATGGGTATCCATGGGACCCGAGCACGCGCCATACTTGATCCGCTCCGTTATTGGTCAGTTCAGTAACTGACCAACAGCGAAGAGATTGTCCACTTGATCCAACTCACTATTGTCACTTCACTTCACTGAACAATGACGAAGCGGATCAAGCGGATCAAGTGGATTGAGTGGATCAAGTATGACGCGTGCCTAAGGCGACAATCTCTTTCTCCCGCTCCTGCGCAGAATCACCTTGCCATCGAGTCACGTATTCCTCCCCTCCATCCCCCTACTCTCCCCGTTTTTACGCGATAACAATAGTAGCGGAGATTCTTTCTTGGAATGTGGGTTTTGGAATTCGCCTTTCGCAGCACACCCGATATCCACCAGTAATTGTTCACAAATGGTCCAAAAGAAAGGACTGTCTGCTTCCCACTCACAATGCGAAGATAAATGCAGTCACAAAAGCGATATAAGTACAAACCATGTTGCATCTGACCAAGCAACGTGGAGAATTCTTGGAGCCCAAATAACGACTGATTTAGGACAGAACACGGCGCACATGTGCAACTTCAAAAAACCATGCTGACCTGTACCAGTGGTTGAACATATCCAATTGTACCTTGCTCTACAAAAGTGCTTCCGTCGACCAATCGATGAATTTCTGTGATTAACCTTGAAGCTTCATCCACTTCACTTGACTTCTTCATCTAGCAAACATATTTAAAAAAGTTCTGTAGAAAAAGTAATCATCACTTTATTTCAAATAAAGTTGAATGGAGTTTCTCCTGCACATTGACATTAGTACAACAGACCAACTCATACTTTACCCGATGAAAGGAATGCTGTACAATCATATCAAAACTTCACCCTATGAAAAAGGGTACAGCAAAATACTATCACTACCTATTGTTAAAATGAAGATCATATATGGCAAAGTGTTACTCAGTCACTGACAGTAGCACTAGGCAATTTTAATGTATGCAGATATCACAGGTGACGGTCAAGTTCAGCCAAATTATCCTCAACAGACTATTCTAGTGTGCACATGAAGGGACATGACAGAACGCGCACAAAATTTTGCTAACGACACAAGAACGCTAATTTTGAACAGCGCAACATGCATATCTCGAATCAAATTGTACCGGCGTTTGCTGGGAAAGAGTTACCTATGATTTTCATTAGGAGCGTACACACCCACAAACTAGCAATATCACAGAATTTCCGTAATGGAAGGTCAAGGTCGCAGATGCTGCAGGAAATATCCTAGAGTTATCCTAAAGTTAGTGAGTGATTAAACTGACTTGCAAAGTCTTGAGCAGGATTATTTCACACACCTGCTCGAATACGCGGTAGATCTCAAAGATATCCCCATAAATGATGAGTTGTTCTTGATGTATTGGAGCTAAAACTGGCAGCTGGCTCAACGTCAAGTACGCCACGATATAAGCTGGGTGCGGAAGTTGAACGTGTCAACTTGGGAAGAGAAATGCCACGCAGTTTATCAAGCACCTAAAGAAAATCATTTTGCACAATCTCCAGTAATATTATGCACCTCATTAAATTCGGGTCTTTCATCTCTTGCAAACTTTATGCAACGTTCATAGAGTGCCATTAACGTCTTTGGAGTATCCGGTCGAATCTTGGTAGCATCCGGTTTCAGATATCCTCGACCAACCTTAAACAGACCATATCTCAACTGTTACTCGGAGCAGCTTCTTGTGCCGATGCAACACTTTCCGTCTTAGAACTCATGCGGATACTAGCAGTTTGCTCTCATTTTACCGCAGCTTAATAAGTGAGAGAAACATGCACAAAATTTGACTGCTACTTACCATGAACAGAATCTGATCCCGGTTATTTATATTGGCATAAGGTAAAGAGCTGGATAGAACCTCGTACATAACAATGCCGAACGAATAAACATCGGACAGCGTAGTATACGGATTGGGATCTTGCATGCGTATGACTTCCGGTGCCTAAATAACGGATTTAATATAGTACCAATCAAGCAGAACGATAATCAAACTTACCATCCAAAGAATACTGCCTGTTGGTTGCTGGCTCTGCTGGCCTCCGCTCCATCTGGTTTTCACAGTTGCCAGACCAAAATCACCGATTTTGACAGTGCTCATATCATCCATCAGGAATATATTATTAGTCTTTAGATCTCTGCAAAAAAGAATTTTTTCCAAGATACTCACAGTAACTTTCTCTGCAATGCAGAAAAATGTAAGAAGAAAAATTATCCAAAAATATACCCAAAACCTAAACCTCACCTATGTATGATGTTTTTGGAATGCAAATAGTTCATTCCTAGAGAGATCTGTTTGAAGATGTCAAGAATAGTGCTCATCTCAAACTCCACGCGCGGCTCTGAATGTGTTGGTATAATACGGGACGGAGTGAAAATGTGAAAAAAACTTACCAACAACATGTATGTGCTTGTACAAACTGCTGCCCTCACACCACTGCGTTACTATGGCCAAAGAGGGTTCACGTACCCATCCCATAAACAGGAGAACGTTTAGATGACGAGTTTTCTTCAGTACGGCAACCTAAAATATGTATAACTCCATCTTAAAGGCACCGTCCACCCTGGGAACGATGCGATTCTGATGCCTGACGTAGCGGGGCCCCAAATGTATACTTGCTCAGCTCGCGCGTCAAAAGTGGCTTTTAAAGAGAGAGCTGCTCCGAAAATTGTTTCGGATGATGAATTCGCCATGTTGGCTGTTCCTCTTCGAGTGGGCGTGACATTCGTCCCCCATCCGTGCGTACCCAATGAATGACCGTCCGAATACTCGCCTGTGGGTTCTGCAGAAAGTGATATGGCCTTTTTGCGGATTCTCGACTGGACAATCGGAGTCAGGGACATGAGGAGGCCCCCGAACGACAAAAATACGAAGAGAACTTGGGTGCCTTTGGAGACTCGCCAGTGCAACGCAGTCTAATGCAAAAAAGAACATATTGTTCACTATAGCACACCTCATTTTTGAATGCTTGCAGTTGTTGCAAAGTTGGCTCTCCAACATTGAGCTTCTTCACAGCCACGAGACCAAAGTATTCACCGCGATATACAGTTCCAAAAGAGCCTGATCCTACCTTACATTGCAAGGTTATCTGCTTCTCATCTATCTGAAAAAGCAGTCAACTATCGGAAGCTATGGGAAAATATATACAATGCAACACTTATATGATCCCAAATAGTCTGATACTCTTTCCAACATCAGAAAGATTCTAACTGCATCATGTTGTGAACAGAGTATATGGTAACTAACACTGAACTAATTAACAACCAAAGAGCTACATAAGGCCCATCAAACCATAAAACAACTAATTTTCCTAATTCAGGACGATTTTCATATCAAAGCCCCAACTAGCGTCATTTGCTCAACAAGTGCCTACTCGCACATAACACTCTTGCACTTAACACTCAAAACGTGAGTCACTGAGAGTTTCATTAAATGCAAACAGTGCTCACGTTAACGCTACAGTCATCAGCTACGAAGCGTTCTTGATGTATAATTCTGCTATGTGAATGCGAGGAAGAGACCCTAGCTAAGAAAACGTTCCACTTGCCTCCCAGTCTTCATGTGCTATTTTGTTTGCAAGAGCTCGAGTCCGCTGCGGTTCCAGACGTTCACCCGGAGAACGGCTCCTCCCTCTAAAGAAACCGGGCGAAAACTGCAAATAAAAATATAGAAAAGACAGCAAAAACATGGGCGAACAAGCATGCCAACTCTCAGAACCTTTTGGGGCGGAGCACTTTGCGGTGGGGTGAGCGGTAACGTAGGGGGTAAAAGCTGACCAGCATGAAGCTGATTTGCAGGAGGAGACGAACACGTACCTAGAGAAAATGTGGGTTTAGTGGTGTGCCCAGAAAACGACAGCTTACTCGAAGGGGAGTTGGATCCAAATGGTGAAGTATCAGCACGCGGGTGTAAGCGATTCGTCGGTCGTCGGATACCGCTTCCTGCGGACACGTTACCGATTGCTGATAGTTGTCCGCTTTGGAATTGCGGCCTTATCTTCACGCCTCGCGCAGCCGCGTTTTCGGCTTCAGCTGAACCAAAGATGCTAGAAAGCATAAAAACAGATACATTTGCCAACCTTGATGCTGCATCTCCAAAGCATCCAGGATGCGCTGCTGAAAACAACAAGTTGTTTGGACGTTCAACAGTCAGACATTTCCAAAGATTATGAGTGTGGATGAATCATCAAGAGATCTAATATATAAAGAAACGTAAGCGCAATTCAAAGATCTGCAAATAGCGGGAAACCACGGTGCGGCCCCGAAGCGTGCGCATGCTGCTAGCACCTTCAATTACTGGTTCACTAGTAATATACGAAAACGAGAGCTCCAGAGTAAACCATTCGAAGCAGTGATACAACCGACAAGCTTTGATTACTGTTAATCAAATATACTCATTGATTAAAATGAAACATAGTAAGTAGAAGAGGCAAACATTCGAAGAAACTGAGATAAAGTCCTCCTTATTATTTAAAACAGAGATGTCAAAACTGGAGATTAACTTGCGCGATGGACACTTATTTACTTTTTATTTTTCGAAAGTCATCTATCTTTCTTTCCCCAATACGATCTGTCCCAATCCGAGTCAGGCCAGAATTGGCATAGCGAGAGTCCGCGTCGCTGGGTTTTTACGTTACCCCCATGCCCTGCTTGTCTGCTCTCTCTTCAATCTCTTCACTCTCTCCAACAGCGCCATATGCAGCGCAAACCCATAGCGGTGCAAGCGGGAATTACGCCAATGGTTCGGCTTGCCTCCGAGTGGGACAGACTGCACATCTTCACGAAGTGCACAACCTCATTGCAGAACAACCCTCGAACAGGCCAAATAAAAGTAAGCCGAAATTCTGAAACATTAGAGTGGCTCAGCCCATCTTAGAGCGCATGCACAACGCCGCGGCAAAACTCGGATGCCAAAGAAAAAAGTCTAACGGATCAACGCTGAATTTGCAGTATAGCGCAAGATGAATGCCGATGTGCTTAAAATTTCGCGTCGGATTTGATTCGATAGGGACCACAGAATGCGTACAACCACACCTCCGTAAGGAAGAGCTAGTTTTCTGAAGAAACGCATTTGAAACAACTTACATTGTGCTCTAGAACCAATTCATCATTGATGGCGTTGATATTCGGAGCTGACGAAGACCTAAAGATCTCTAGTATAAAACAAGTGACTAACATATCACGAGCCAGTGTGTTACTGACGTGTCAAAGTGAAAATTATTGCGTACGAAGATGTTATAAGTACGCATGAAGATTTGCTAATTTAACCAGTGAAGAATGAAAACCATATGCTGTTACAAAAACTACTCTAAGAATGATAAAATAAAGCAATGGACGCACAAAATAAAAAATTTCCCTTACCTGTCACGAGGATATGGCGCTAAGGGGCCACTACTCTCCTTCACTGCTGCGGGGGGTTGATGCCGCTTGACGCCACCACCTCTGCAATAGATTAAATCATATTCTCTTTCCGAGAACTATCATACTGTAAGCAATATAAATTAAAAAGCTTCTCTAGCCTCTTCAGTGTAAGATCTCCATGGCTTCCTTCTGGAGTGTGAGCCGGACTAGGATTCGGTTGTAGCTGATTAAGTACACTTTCAGCAATCTCTGCATCCTGTCCTTCCATTCGTGAAGCCAACAGGAGAAGACGCTGGGCTAACTGAAACAAACATTAGATGATAATTACTTCTCTATGCGAGCGAGCGTACCGCTTCATCTCGTGGCACGGTTTGGATCAGATCACAGAAGAGGGGTGCGAAAGATGAACACCTCTGGTGAAATTTGAACTGACAGAATTCACAACGGTAGCCCTGCAATTTTAAAATTGAAATCTTGCATATGAAGATATTAAAATGATGCAAACTAATTATAGTAATTAGTTCAATGATCGACTTCTTGTAGCGCTATGTGAACAAAGGCCGCCACAAGAAGACTGATGAAAGACGCTCGAGTTAGTTCATACAAGCCTGAATTAAACATCGTATTTATACGAAAACCCACTACAAGCCAAATTGGATTCTTGCACACGTCGCAATTCACAGGCGGAATGAAGGTTTTGCGAACGATCGTATGCTTGATGGAGCTGACAGTGTCGAGGTACTCGCTATGTACCCACAGCTCATTTTTATCCAGACGAGCAGCTATCGATTCCAGGTCCTCCTAAACATATGAAACTTTCAATCGCATCATTCAGATATGTAGAGACTATATACAATTATAGAGTCGAGACAACAATACTGTAACGAGGTGCAAGCTAACTCTACGATTTTCGTTTACAAATGAAAAGAGAAGATTGATACGATATCATTCACGCACATTCAAATCGATCTGCTCGCTTCTTGGATCTTCGGACACATTAACATGGCATAATTGCGGAGTTATATTCCTCTTCTTCAGCAATTTTGAGATAGCATCGCGAGCCGTTTGTCCCGACCTTACTTCCAATCGAGAATGTTGGTCGAAAGGCAGGTGAACATAGATCAACTTGCAGGGTAAACTAAAACAAAACCTGTATTCAAAAGCTTTGAAATTTCGCGCAAATTTGAGATTAAGAAGAATGGAGAATTATCCAACAAAAGAAAAAGAAAGACTGAGACACACTACAAAAAGAGTGTATTGCTTAAATAATGTTTAAGCTAATAAAAGCGAGCGGCAGCATTTTTGAGTCAGAATCGCAAAAAATAAGTGGCATACCTGTCCCTGTTGGGCGATATGATAGGCGAGAGATTCGGTATACTAGACGAGGATGGTGCAAGCGGAGATGAAGGACTGAGTGTGGGTTCTAGCTCCTTGCCCCGGTTCCTCATCCGATTCATGTTACGATACCGCGTGTACCAACTTGCGGCTCTATCTTTCCCTGTAAACAAGCAAAAGTGTATTTGTGAAACGAAGTTAAAAGGCGTTGTACAATGTAATTCCTTGTGAAAAGTGACATGAAAAAAACGGGTGCGAACCTCCATAAGTAGCATTACAAGCAAGTTTCGCTGAATTTCACAGTAACAACTAGAAAAAAGACTTAAGAGAATTTCAAAGTGATGTGCACAAATGAAACTGAAAGAAACCCAATTGGATTCTCATCTTCCGGGTAGATTTGCTCAAGGAAACACATGCATGCAAGCGTTTCCGATTTGAGCACGCGCTGCAGCCGATTTTTGTCCGCAGAGCACGTCAAGGCTCGGCAAATAATTGCAGTTATGAGTCCATATTATGCCTTGGATGATATGAACCAGCAATGTTCCGTACCATGTGGGGATTCATCGCAAGCAAAAACTGCGGACGTATCGGCGTCTCTCTGACCAAACGCTCTTTCGTTTCTCTTACCATCTGCTGTCTCTCCCAAACACGAGCTACTTTGGTCGGACGCAACTGCACCCAGTCTTTGCGCGTTGTGCTACCAGTAGATTTTTTCAGTTGCCTGTCGCAACAAGGTTAGAGGTCAGGATTTCCGTTAAGTGCGTCTTTGAGTTTAGTCTGTGACCAGACAACTTCTGTTAAAGGCAGCGTCCAGGCAAATCTGGACATATGGGGATCTCACGTGGATTGCAATTTTGGGCCCTAACCTAGGTATGCTCTAAGAGCTACGATAATACCCTCGAAATTGGACCTCGGGATCGTATTCGCATCGATTCATGATGCAACTCCGTGTCTCCTCGCCTCGCGCGAAACTGATGGGCTGCGATATGAATCAATGCGAATACGATCCCGAGGTCCAGTTTCGAGGGTAATACCTCAGCCGTTAGGCTGGGTCCATACTGATTCCCATGTTCTGAAACTGTTCTCGCGCAGTTCCCGCACTGTGCTGGAAATGTTCCGGAACCGCGCTGTATGCGCTGCAACCGCCCCGCACGCATTTTGATCGGCGGGAATTGGAGAATTTTGACCGTTTCCAACGGTTTTTCTTCCAGATTCCTCTCATTTTGGCCTTATTCCTCTACCCCGCTTCCCTTTTTATCAACAAAACTTCGAACTTGAAGCGGGGTCTTAGAAAGCGCTTTTCTGCTCTGCGTATCCGACAAAATGTCTGTTCTTGCGCTTGTTCATTCTCGCTTCGTATTCTTTTTGCTCGGACCTATCCCCTTTGTTTCAGAAGCCGCTGCGTAGTTTCCGCAGGTGCCTGGCTCGAATTAGGACATGCGAACGTTCTAAAATGCGGAAGTGGAAACTTTGCTCTTGTTTTCGAGTTTCGTTTTTGGGCGTTCTCAGCCCCTTTCCTTTTTCCATATCGTTGCTTCTCCGTTCTCTCTTCTACCCAGCTTCTCCTACTGATGAGAAAAGTGCGAACTTGAAGCGGAGTTGAAGAGAGAACGCTGTTCTCTTTCATATGGATAAGTAGAGAAGAACAACGTTCATTTCTCAACCCCGCTTCAAGTTCACAGCTTTTCTCATCACTAGGAGAAGTGGGGTAGCGGAATAAGGCCAAAATGAGGGGAATCTGGTAGAAAAACCGTTGGAAACTGTCAAAATTCTCCAACTCCCCCCGTTCAAAACGCGTGCGGGGCGGTTGCAGCGCATGCAGCACAGTTCCGAAACGGTTCCAGCACAGTGCGGGAACTGCGCGGGAACAGTTCCAGAACATGGGGATCAAAGTATGGACCCAGCTTTAAGAGCACTACCTGAGCTCCGGTTGGGCAGTGGCTTAGCTAGGGCCCCAAAATTACTTTCCACGTAAATCCCCATAGGTCCAGATTTGTTTGGACGCTGCCTTTAAAGATCAAGAGGCAGCCACTTAATGGTTTATTAGGGAACATTTCTGGGGAATGCGCTATCGAAAGACAGCCACGTTGGTGGTTCATATGGGAACAATTCTGGGGCACGATATTAGTTGAAGGCAGTGATCGGGAGGAACTCGATTTTAAGATTTTATGCTTAAACGGGCCTATTCGCCATGCTTACTCCGAAAACCTACACTGGAAAGCACGAAAACGGCAAAAAACGGCTCTAGCGCAGGAGGGAAACAGCAAGTGGGCGGGGTCCTCCCACTGTGCATTCACGCTCCCAGCTTCCAGAGCGGTCTTCTCGATTCCGCTAGCCGTCCTCACATCGCTACCGGCCAAGTGCGAACGATTGACTTGTAACCGGAAGCGAGAAGATTGCTCCGGAAGCTGGGAGCGTCCGCCCATCTGCTGATTTCCCTCCTGTGTTAGAGCCGTTTTTCGCCGTTTTCGCGCACTCCAATGTGCATTTTCGGATTCAGCGTAACGAAAAGGTTCGGCTAAGCACAAAATCTCAAAATCGAGTTTCTGCCCCGGGACACTGTCTTTGAAGGCAGTGGATCGGCAAAACTTAACAAGTCAGGACTTTAACGCGATAGGTTCCTTATCGCCCAAGTATGGAAACAGTGCAATCGTGGTTGCACAGCATGCCTTACCTGCCGAGAAAATGGCTCTCAAACTTATACGCGCAGGCCAATCTTACACGCTTTCGGACGAGTTAGCAATTCCCTCCTCCCGATTGGAGGCTGCCCGCCGCAATGCTATAACCATTGGGTCCCGCAACGATCAAGCATCATCAGCCTTGCTCCACTCGTCCAGTTCCGAAGGGAATGGCATTGAAAAAGCTCGTTTTCGCCGTTTTCAAGCTCGCACAAGTGGATTTTCGGGATCAGCGTATTGAATAACGCAGGTAAGCGAAAATTTGACCACATTAAGATTTGCCGAGACACTGCCTTTAAGCGTAACGCAGGCCAGAGAGGGAGAACAGGCGTACATTCTGTGCCAATGATGTGCTCTTTTCGATCAGCTCGGGAGCAACGATAGAGCCCCTGCTCGAAATTGCAGCGTCAATCGGAGATTGTGCCAAATACCCACTGGCTGCGTAGAGAGCACAGATTGCAGCAGTGGTTGGCATGCCTTCCACGAATAAGTTGAAAAATTTTGGCTAAAATCACGCAGGTCGTCGTCTACAGTATACCTATACTAATTTCAAGAAGCAGCCGAAAAACGTGGAAGCTACTCCTAGTACAAGAGCGTAATGGAGTTTCTGAAACAAATGTATTTCAGATTAGCAGTCCTTTTACAAAATTTAACCCATGACCCACCAAGTGGGTCACATTGTCACGCGTGGTAGTCATTACACGACTCATGTATGGGTCACGTTGTCGTCAATGTGTTAAAGGCAATGTCCCAGCAAAAACTCATTTGCTTGTTTTTCTACCTGGGCTGGCGCTACGCTGAATCCGAGAAGCCGATGCCCCCGCTTTAAATTCGGACGAGTTGCAGAGTTTCTCGCCAAGGCTAACGAGAAAATGGTCAGAACTCAACCCAGCCATTCCAAACAAGCTTTATATTATCGGACTCGTTTTAAGACGCTGATTTAAAATATATGTTTTTTATCTGCCAAGCGACTATCTGGAAGGAGTTATGAGCGTTTGAATGTGCGATTTGTCAAGTGTTCTGTAGCCTAAATATGTTCCACGAAATTTATTTCAGAATACTTATTTAGGTTTCTCGTAAATGTGTTTTTTCTTGTAATCAAAATAACCATAGCCACTGTGATTCCGCGCTCAGGCTGCCTTTCAAGGAAATATATCCGTCGAGACTCGAAAAATTCCTCATTTTGAACGCCCATGACTCCTGCCTGATAGTCGCTTGGCAGATAAAACATATAATTGTGATAGCGTCCCAAGGCGAGTCCAATGATATACAGCATGTTTGATATGGCTGGGTTAAGTTCTGACCTGTTATGAGACAAGGTTTTCAGATATTCGCTGTTGATTCGCCAGAGATCCTCCCCACTTGGAGAACTTCGCAGAAAAGCGCGTAGACATGCGCGAGACAATATTTGACAGACATTGGGATTGTCACTAAAGGAATCCGAGATAATGAGTGACTCAAGGAGTATTCTCGCAATAGTGATCTTGAACTGCCTAAGCGTTATTTTTCACACATTTCATGTTCTTTCACACTATTCTTACTACCATTCACTTCATTTATCACTTTGTGATTTACGTTCTTGATGTACCTACTTTCCTTCTTCCTTTTAAAAGAATTGTTGCTGTGGCCTTGATCTTTCTTCCTAGTTTCTTAACTCCTGGGGTAGGCGCGCGAACGGCCCTCTTACAAGCAGCTTCCGTGCGTGCGGCAAACACTTGAGTACCGTCTCAGACACTCGCACCGGCCGGCGGCCGTACAAAGACCGGCTGGCGGCACCACAGGTCATTTCACTCAGCCGCGTAGTCTACGACCACCGGCCGGTTTTCGGACGGCCGCCGGCCGGTATGTGTCAATCGCGCAACAAAATGGTTGTGGGGCGCGATTCTTCTTCGCTTTGCAGCTTTTGCTTTGCCCCCCCCCCTCCCCCCTCCAATCACGAAACATAGTACAGAACCGCAAAAACATATCCATTTATTCCATACATAGTGAGGGACTGATTACAAATGAGACTAATACGTAAAGCCTAACACAATATCTAATGAAGCTATAAAATTTAAACGTTTCTTATGTCTACGAGAAGATGACGTTTTGTACATGAGAACATCCGGTCGACACAGAAGATAGCACATCGGACCGCTCGCTGCCCATTTCGAGTTGACTGGTTGCTGCACTCTCGTATTCTTTAGGGTGAATGCCACATTGCGGACATCTGCAAACAAAATAAGCTTTTGACAAAAGATCATTATAGCAAGACTTACCTGCTCAGGAATTGCTATGTCAGTGAGCGGAGCAACCCAAAGACCTATTCCAGGAGGCATTCAGTGAATGTTTCCCCTAAACCACTAACCAAGATCAGTTTCTTCAAATGATTGTTTAAACCCACTTACCTTTTGCAGTGTACACAAAGATAGACACAGGGATACCGGGAATCCGTAGAACATGAGATTTATTCAACATTGCTAAAGATAAGAACGCACCTGTCTAGTGGAG